TGCCAAATGCATATTTACACATAACTCAAATACATATGACAAAATAAACAAGCACACATCTCCCTCAAATAAATTGTTAAGTACTGGGTAAAATTAAGGGACGTTGGAATTACTTCTTCATGGAAGAAATCTTTCGGGTCTAAGAGATCTGTAAGAGAAGTTATTGATATGTGAATGAACTGACTCTATTGCTGTTTCTAGAACATTATAAGAAGCCTCCCAATCACCCATTTTGCAACTATAACCCAGATGAGGCCTCCTTATTTTTGTACCAAGTCCTTTTTTTAAAATGATGTTATTTATTTATTCATGAGAGACTCAAAGAGAGAGGCAGAGACACAGGCAGAGGGAGAAGCAGGATCCCTGTGTAGCCCGATGCAGGACTCAATCTCAGGAACCCAGGATCACGACCTGAGCCAAAGGCAGACATTCAACTACTGAGCCACCCAGGTGCCCCTGTCCCAAATGCTTCATCTTTAATGAACTAAGTTTTTCCTTAAATATTAAAATTTTTTAAATGCCTCAATGGTTTTTGAAACTGAGTGATGGGCAACCAAGTTCTCAATGCTATTTCTGAGTGTTTTTCAAAATGTCTATGAGGAAAGAAATTTTAAGTGCCCCAATCCTCCCAACCCATACAATGGGAAGATTAGTGCACTCTCCATGATTCACCACTCATGGTCAACTCTCACTTGATTTCCTGCTCCCACATGGTCTCATTAGTGAGTCTTGTTTCCTGTATTTAACATCACCCCAAACATTACACAAGATTTTTTTTGCTTTAACTTCCAAAGCCACCTCCTAACCCAAGGTCACTATCTATAGCCTACTTATAAAAGAGAATTGGCACTAAACACTTCAGCAGTTAATGGTAGGCATCCTTGTGTTTAAATTCCCTTGACCATCCCTGTCATCAATCATCCTTTCTCCTCAGGCCAGGATCCCCCAATAGGCTTGTGGGAGCCTCACCAAACCACTTCATGGCTCCCTACAGAGTTCCCCTTCCAGGCCCCTTCTGCCCCTTCCTGAGAAACTCAAGAATTTCTCTCCCCTATCGAGCACAACACATCAGCACACTGTGTGTTCCCCCTTCTCCTTGCAGAACTGCTATAATCACCTTTTCAAATCAAAGATGTCCATCAGGTTATTTTTTAAAATAAGTAAAAATCTATCTTTCCTGAGATGAACTAAGACATTGCCCTTATAAGATAAAGAAAAGAAGAAGCAGGTGCAGTTAGCTTTTATAACTAGCAATATTTTTTCTTCCCACTGTGCCAGAATACAAATACTTTATAGTTGATGCAACAGGTTGTTAACACAGGACAATTTCTGCCTTAATTTTGGGTAAGGCCTAATGGCCAATAAGTGCCAAATCTCATTATATTCCAAATTGAATGCTGGACCATTTAGGAAGGATTTGCCAAAGGGGTAGCAAAAAATAGTTTGTGGACCCCTAACCCATGCCACTGCCTAAGAATATAAAAGGATTGAAGTTATACAGGAAGACAGAGAATTTATTTGGAGATTTATTGGTGTTCTGTGTATTCCCTGCCTCCCCCAAAGAAGGGAAGAATGGAAGAGCTTTGTGCTTCGGTTCAGCCAAGTAAGAAGGGGAGTTGCAAGAGAACCACTCAAAAGACCAAAGTGTCTCCTGGAGATAAGGGAGCAAATGGATGGTGTGATTGCACTGGAAGAGAACTGTACCTACACCAAAGGCAGAGCAAAAATGCATAAGTACATGGCTGGATTGAATCCTACCTAAGAGGACTACCTCAAGGAATGAAGTGGCCCAATGAGGGGGTGGACCATGGGAAGTCTAGGAATTCTGAGTGACTAGCTAGAAAAGTGAACTTTCTCATGCCATGGGAAGTGTAGACAGGGTTCCAAGCATACATATCTTGCAAGGAACCCATGAGAGCATGAAATAAGGGAGAAGAAAGACTACATTGGGAGTATTTCATACCCAGCAGGCAACATCACTAAATTATGCGTGTGCCAAGTCATGAGAAATGTTTCATCTTTCAGCTCCTAATTCAATCCACAAGGAGCCAGAAACAATCAAGTGAGGGGGGATAGCATAAGGAGAACCCGTAGAGATGAATGGAAGAATAGAAGATACTCTACCTCCCAGCCAGAGGCTTGCTAACTTGAGGGAAGCTCAGGTCGCAAGGAAGGGAGAAGACTTAACTTTAAATGAGGCTCTAGATGTTCATTGCGACACTGGCTGCACAAGTGAATGACAGAAATGAGTCAAGAATTTATTTCCTGCAACTAATGATAAACGTTATGGGCTCTTCTTAAGACTTCATCCAAGACTGGAAGAAAAGAGTAGTCCACAGTGTTTGACACAGTTGTGCATGGTAATCTATGCATATGTAAGGCTGGGAAGGAGCTTGTAGGATATGCCAAACACACAAAGTAAAGCAAAGCTCATCAAATTAGGAAGAATGATAAGGATCATTGAATTTGGCCTTAAGGAAAAGTTTTATTTTGCAAAGATTCTTGGTTTTGCTTTGTTCTTTGGTTGTTGATGTTGGGTTTTGTTATAGTTGTTATTCTGTTTTATTCACTGCTGTAGGTCCATTGCTTAGAACACTGCCTGGCATGCAGTAGGTGCTTATTAGTGTTTATTAAGTGTATTGTGGCTTTGATCTCATATTTAATAGCCCTTAAAGCAGATTTTATAGTGTAGTTTTTATTTTTAAATGCATACAACGTAGCTAGTAAATAGGATGATTGGACATTTATAAATAAAATTTCATCTAATGGGGAAACTGTTGTTTTTTTTAACTAGTCAAAATGGATGGACTTAGCCATTATAAAAGCATCTAATATGTATCTCACTTATATACTTATACGGCTGGTGGAAAACTTGGAAATGAGTAAGGACAATCAAGATAACCAAACACATCCTTAAGACAGACAACTAAAATCATCTTCTAATGAATGGTCTTCCAGTAATTATCCTTCTGACATAATTAGTGTTGTCCTGATTACAGCAAATTAAAAAAAACTGGATATTAATAATGTAGCAGGGTTTTTAAATGGAGAAAAATCGTGTATCTAGAAAACACAAATGATCTCAACTTTAAATTCTACTCATGTAATTTGGACCACCTTTTCTTCTGAGGACAATTAGAAAAGCTAAGCAAAATAATGAAGAAAGAGTGTTTGAAAGCATTTAAAAGCTAACAAGTGAGTAAAACTATATGCTTTTGTTTAAAAAATGTAAACTGAGGGTCACCCAGCCAACTCAATTTGTTGAACATCCAACTCTTGATTTTGGCTCAGGACATGATCTTGGGGTCATGAGATTGAGCCCCACATGAGCTCTGCCTTGGGTTTGGAGCCTGCTTGACATTCTCTCTCTCCATCTCCCTCAGCCACTCTCTCTCATTTGCACATGGCCATGCACACTCTCTTTTTTCCTCTCTCTTAAAATAAATAAATGAATAAATAGATTAAATCCCTAGAAGTGAAATAACTGGATCAAAGGTCATGAAAACTATAAACCTGGTATATATTATAAAATTTCTGTCCAGAAGAGTAATACAAATTTAAACTGCTGGCAGCATTTTCTGAGAATGCTTAGTTTATTGTAGCTTTATTTTCTGAATTTTTAAGTAAATTTTACCTCCAGTGTGGGGCTCAAACTCACAAACTCAGGAGTCACATACTCTACCAACTGAGCCGGCCAGGCACCCCTTTATTGTAGCTTTGCCAGCATGATGTGCTAACTTTGTTTCATCAGTCTCAATTAATTGCAAAATAATAATGATCATTAATTAGACAAAATACCTATCCAGGAATATACTAGCAAACAAAAACAGACCTAACTTCTGATCTCTTGGAGTGTGTAATTTGGTATAGGAGATAGATATTGAAAAAATAATTATGCAAATTGAAATATAATTACAGGGGAACCTGAGTGGCTTGAGTTGAGCATCTGCCTTCAGCTCAGGTCGAGATCCCGGGGTCCTGGGATTGAGCCCCTCATCAGGCTCCTCACAGGGAGCCTGCTTCTCCCTCTGCCTTTGTCTCTGCCTCTGTCTCTCTCTGTCTCTCATGAATAAATAAATAAAATCTTAAAAAAAAAAAAGAAATACAATTACAGATAAATGCACTATAGGAAATGAATAGAATACTGTAAGAATGGTTTGAGATAAGGTCAAGATATAACCCGAGGGGTTAGCATGGAGGTGACATGATTGGATTTGAATTTTGAAAAATTCCTTCTTGCTGTGATATGGAGAATAAATTATTGAACAATAGGAACGTGCCAGGGAACACCAGGTAATTGGTTATTACAAAAAAATGATAGTTCCATCTAGAGTATTACAGTAGAAGTTGAGAAGTTGAGGAATAGATCATTGATATTTTAATCTGAGTTTAGTTATTACTAAGATTGAATACTATTCCATGTGTTGATTGGCATTTTATGTTTTGTGTCTGTGTAAGAGCAAGAGCAAGTGAGAGCAAAAAAAAAGAGAGAGAGAGAGAGAGAGAGAGAGAGAGAGAGAACTAGAAATTGCTGGAGAGAGATTAGTCTATTCTTGTTTTTTTTTTTTTGCTCATGTTCAATTGAGGTTTCCAGCGTTTTCCTGATTTATTTGTGAGTCTTTTATTGGTGACTGTATTTCCATCATAATATTCTAAACAATCAAAGAAAAGCTAGTGGTTTAAACTGCAAGCCCCCAGGGGAGCCTGGGTGGCTCAGTCAGTTAAGCATCTGCCTTCAGTTTAGGTCATAATTTCAGGATCTTGGGATTGAGTCCTGCACCCGGCTTCCTGCTTAGAGGAGAGTCTCCTTCTCCCTCTGCCCTCCCCTCTGCCCCTCTGCTCATAATATCACTCTCTCTCTCTCTCTCTCTCTCTCTCTCTCTCTCTCTCACTGTCTCTATAATAAATAATATCCTTTTAAAAATAATAATAACCTGTAAGCCCCCATTTCTCCTGTGTGTGCCTGCAGATTGGCTGGGGAAACCCTGCTTGAGGCTTACCTGGGTACAGTCTGCTGCAAATCTCTCATTCTGGGACCCAATGTTGTCTCAGGACATGCTTATTTCCAAGACAGATGGCAGAAGCACGAGAGGCCAAAACAAAGTATGCAAGCATATTTAGATCATCAGATCTGCTAACTTTCCATTGGCCAAATCAAGTCAGGTGGCCAATCCTAATATCAGTAGGGCCAGGATGTTTACTCTCCTATTTTCCTTGGAAGCTTTGCCAAGTCTCATGGCAAAGTGGACAGTGCACACTCCTCTCAGAGCGAGGGTGTAAAGACCTAGGAACAATTACCTGATCTACCAAAGGACATTTGTCATTTGTTCTTTATACAAATGATTGCCAACTTAGGATGGTTCGACTTACAGTTTTTGAATGAGGAGGTAGAGGGAACAGGTGCTTAATGTTCTAAACCGTTAACTTGTGAGTGTACATAAATGTGTATTTAAATGTATAAATGTACACAAATGTACTGCATAGATAAACATCCTTTGATAACATTTTATAAAAGAATTAATAGTAGTTTTCATTAATAAATATTCTGCATCCGCATTCAACACTTGTAAACTTCACTGTAAATAATAACAATATTTTCAATAGTAGTGTTACTGTATGGCTTAGGCACCAAGCCTGGATTTCCTTTTAAAATTTTTCCTCCGCCAATTATTTAAATCTTTCAAATAATAACCTTAGGTACAGAAGAAACTTTATTTAATGTTTGTATTACTTTGTCTTAAAGTTATCACTCTATTATTTTAGGTGCCTTTCTTAACTATTGTCTCAACCTCAAATTTTCCATTAAATCAAACTTTATGAATAATTCATAGTGGCTAAATCAATGGGATTAGTGCTTCTTGCTTTCAGAATCTATAAATCTTATCATGGGGGAAGATGCAGCTTTTGAAAGCCAATTCCGTAAGAGTTACAATCCAACTTGCAGCCAGCGGGTTTTCAGGCTCCTTGATCCAGTAGCTTTAATATATGTAGGTCATGTCATCAAACAGAATGTCACCTCTCTCAATGCGTCGGCTGCCTTCTTTTTCCACGTCCCAGTGTTTGCCATGTCATCTCCTAACCTATAACTTTATTTTCAGCAGCCACAGCCCCAGAGTCTCAGATGCTTTGTAGAAACAGCCTCATTATCTGTAGTGTTGTAACAGCAGTTAGAAACTGAATGACATTCAATTAAAATGATATTAGCAGCTCAGGAGTGATTTTGTTTAATTTACTCCTACTCAGATGTAAAAACATTAGCGACTTTTTTAATTGGACCTCATAATGTCTAACTCCTACTCAAATGCAATGAAATTAAAGACTTTGGTGCCTAAATACCGCTTAATTTACTCCTACCCATCTATAATGACATTAAAGATGCTTTAGGGTAGATATTGTTTCCAATCAATTTTATTCAAAAGAAATCTGAGCTCACAGGTACTATTATTAAGCATATAATAAAATCACACAAGAAATATATCTTTACAATTGGGGATAGGGTGGTTTCTAGTAATATTAAAAAGTAATCATTTTCATTCTAATGCAAAGATATTAAAAAGTAATACCTTAAATACAAGAATTTGTAAAGTTTTCAACTGTTTAAATAAATATGTGATTCACAACCTGTTAAAGAAATGTATGTTGTTCCATATAAATTTGAAGTGAATTTTATCCAGTTATGGCGTGTGATTGGCTCATGCCTGATTAGAAATTTTATCTTAAAATATGGCTTAGAGAAAAGCATCTTTTTCATCTAATGTTAATAATTCTTAAAACCCTTTCTTACCATAAGTTTATAGGATATATTTTTTGAACTTTTGTTTTCCTGAAAAGACTATTTTAAGCACATTTTGAGTCCATATGTGCTTGGACAGAGTTGGTATTCAATAGATAGTTGTGGAGAAGGGAAATAAAAACTATTATCAATAATAAGAGTTAAAGTTTATAAAGTTTCTACAATGTGTCAGAAATTATTCTGAGCATTTTAAGTATATTAAATTATTTAGTCCTCTGAATTAAGTAATAGTAAATAATATTGTCAGTTTACAGATAAAAACAATAAACTGACAGATGTTGTTGTTAAAATTCCTTGGGGTTGCTTTTAGTTTGGGAAGTCTTTTAAGCACTTACAAATTCTTACCCTATAATGTGAAATTTTCCTCCATAAAATAAATTAAGAGAATTTGATGAGAAAATTAGAAAGCAACAAGCACACAAACACATATATACCTGCATAAATGGATACTTCAGTTTTCTTTACTAATATAGTACTAATATTTTAATAAATATCTTTAGTAAATATAGCTTTCTTTACTTTGATATTTAGGAATAATTTCTCAAGTTGTTTTCCTTGAGGGATACCTGGGTGGCTCAGTGGTTGAGCATCTGCCTTTGGCTCAGGTCGTGACCCTGGGGTCCTGGGATCGAGTCCCTCATCAGGCTCTCCGCAGGGAGCCTGCTTCTCCCTCTGCCTGTGTCTCTGACTCTCTCTGTGTGTCTCTCACGGATAAATAAATACAATCCTAAAAAAAAAAAAAGATATTTTCCTTGAAAAAAAATTGATGATATTCTGAAACACTTAATACTAATAATATTGGTATGTCTTAATATGTCCTGGTCACAGCTTCTAGTTGGGCTCACAGATGCACTCAGTGTTGGAGGAATAGACATTTTAGTCACCCCAGTCATCCTGCTTTGGTTGAAATGCCTGCTCCTCCTGAGCAGGTAGGCGGGGCCTAAGATTAAGAAATGTTCTAATAATAAATGTCAGGGCAGTTGTGTAACTGCCTAGGCTTGAATCTTTGCTCTGCCACTTGTTGGGTGTTTGGTTGCAGGCACAATATTTAATTCTTTTAAGCTTCAGTTTTCTCATCTGTCAATAGAAATAATAAACCTCATTGTTTTTTCCCCAAAATACTACTCATCTCTTACTTCCTATTTAGATGAATGTCACTCAAAGTGCCTATGATTGTTTAGCTTAGGACTCCAGACTCTTAGGAGTCATCTTAAATTGATTGATCTCATTCTCTTTCTCTCTCTTTCTTCCCACATCCAATGAATCACCAAATCTGCCTATTTTATGTCCTAAATATTACTCATTCAGAGCATCTTAATTGCAATGAGACACAACAGAATATATGTGATAATAGAATATTTGGTGAGCATTCATTCACCCAACACTTACAGAACCCAGACTTTTTGCCTGAACGTGTTAGGATGCCAGAGATGCAGAGGTGATCATTCCTGGGCAATGGGAAAGAGAAACAGAAAATCCCTGGTTCCAATAAAGTAGGATAAGTGCCTTACTAACACTGACACTATGGCCATGTCTTATGGCAGAACAGAGCACCCAGCTGCAGTAATTGCACCAAATATGAAGTTATGGGAACCACAAACATTTAAAATTGAAGGGATAGTTTTGAGAGAATCAGTGTAATCTGGAGCCTAGATAATAAATACTGATTTCAACACCCCCCCCTTTTTTTTTCTTAATGCCTGAATTCAGGGCATCTGTCTATTAATGAAATTTTCTACACTTCCGGAGGGTTACCATTCTCTCACATGGCTTCCCTCCCTCAGTCTGCAGTGGCACGAGTTCTAGTTACTCCCCAAACTGCCACCTGCCAAGAGAATCACAGTCAAATCCTATCCAACTGTTCAAACTGTGTGGAAGTCTAGCCACCCATTTCAGACAATCTGAAAAATAGACCAAAACAATGTTTTCACATAGATGAAAATGTGTGCAGTAAAGACACAATGAAAAGATATTCATACTCCCCCACAAAAAAAAAGAAAGATAACAGGAAAAATCAAGAATTCGTTTTGGATCTTTTAAGAGTAATGATTTCTTTTTTTTAAAAAAAAGAGTAATGATTTATTATTTTTAAAGATTTTATGTAAGATAGAGAGACACACACACACAGACAGAGGGAAAGCAGACTCCATGCAGGGAGCCGGACGTGGGACTCGATCCCGGGACTCCAGGATCAGGCCCTGGACGAAGGCAGCACTAAACCGCTGAGCCACCGGGGCTGCCCTGATTTATTTTTTTTAAAGAGGCCATGATTAATGGTGTCGACCGTGAAAATACTGACTGAGCTTCACATATTGCTTCCAGTGATAGATCTGTATAATTCTGGAAGGCCAAGTTCTTACACGTTGGTTTGATTTTCGTTTCTCCTATTTTTTGCAGCCGTGGTTCAAGTCCAATACAACCACTACTGCTACTGCAGAGAATGATTCCTTGTGCCTAAAGAGACATCATCATCAACATATTGGTAGAAGTAATAGTAGTAGTAGTAGTAGAAGCAGTAGTAGTAGTAGTAGTAGCCGTAGTAACAACAGCAGCAGTGACAGTGGCGAGCCACCATAGCATCAGGAACAGTGTTGCTCTAGCCTTTAGCTCATTCATTGTCGTGGCACCATCGCAATACTCCCTGGAAAAGCTCAGCCACCGTGGTTTCTCACAAGAGGATCCCACCCAGGGGATCTCACAAGTTCCTGGCTCTGAGGATCACCTGCAGTCTCTCTCCTGTCATGGACTTGAATGTCTACAGCCCCCCAGAATTCATATGTGGAAGCCCCACCCCGCAGTGTGATGGGACCTGGAGGGGAGGCCTTTGAGAGGTAACTAGGCTTGCGTGATCTCATGAGGGAGTGGCCCCCACCATGGGGCTGGTGTCCTTGTTTACAAGTAGGTCCCTGTCTCTGTCTGTCCCCACCGTGTGAGAACACAGTGAGAAAGCTGTCTGCCAGGTGGAGAGAGGGTCCACACTGGAAACCAAATCTGCCAGCACCCTGGTCTTGGACTTCTGGCTTCCGCAGCATGAGAAATAAATGCATTTCAGCAATTCGGTCTACGTATTTGTTCTAACATCCTGAACTGAGACATCCTTCCCACTCCAGCTGCCTGTGGCTGTGGAGGCTCCCGAAAGTCACAAAAGCCCAAGTGAGAGCGTCCATCTCTGCTATGGGTCGGGGGGTGGGGGGCTGATGTCCCTGAAGCCAGGATCACATCCTGTTCTGTGAATCCTACAGCAGGTCTCCTCCTGGACCACGGGGATCATATTCAGACAATC